ATTTCAGCTGCTTCTATCCGCATTCTCATTCTTTTGGTCACTACCCAAAGCTCGTGACCATAGATGAGGGTTAGAACGTAGATCAATCGGTAAATAGAGAGCTTTGCCTTCCAGCTCAGCTCTCCCTTCACCTCGACAGATCAGTACAATGCCTGCATTGCTGCAGGTGCTGCACCAATATGCCTGTCAATCTTATTCCAGTTTTCCCTCACTCGTGAACAAGACACTGATATACTTAAACTCCTCCACTTCTGGCAGGACCTCAACCCTGACCCAGAGAAGGCATTCTACCCTTTTTCGACTCAAGACCATGGTCTTGGATTTAGAGGCACTGGTTCTCATCCCAGCTGCTTCACACTTGTTTGCGAACCACTTCAGTGAGAGCCAGAGTTCACATTCTGATGAAGCCAACAGGACCACATCATCTGCAAAAAGCATAAACTCAATCCTTAAGCCATCAAAACGGATCCCCTCAAGCTTTGGCTTGACCTACTTATATATTTTTTTCTGTTTTTAAAGATGTGGTAGCCCTATTTTAAATGACTGAGTCATGTTTTGCAGCATTTGCAGTCAAAATGTTCTCAGAAATCTTGTGTGTTGATATATGCTTATCCACTGACAAAGCTTGGTGGTAAGTTTTTGTCCTTAAAGGAGCAAACTCTTAAACCTAATTTATACTTTGTCTGTTTGCGTGGGAACAGAGATACACAATGCCATTACGCATTTGTGCAACAGCTCCCTGACAGGCTTGTAGAGGCTGACGGAGACATGCTCAACTTTTTACCTATCCGTCAAAAGTGACAAAGACAGCAAGCTTGTGATTGGACAGGACAGTGTCCCTTAAATTTGTCAATAGGACTGTCACTGTACCCTCAAAAAAAATTTAAATAAAAATAAACTGCTGAAGATATTTAGCAGCAGACACAAAAGATTAAAGAACATCTTGTGTAAAAATAAAAATATGAAAAGTTCATTCACCCGTGACTGATGAAATTCAAAGATATGCAGCAAGCATTTTATTTGTGAACGGAAATGATAAAAAGAGTGGATTTACAAGTGGCAACCGCATGAAGAGGTGGAGGAGAATGAGGGACAAATTAATTTAATTTATTTATTTATAGAGCACCTTTACCACCAGTCAAGGTGGCCCAAAGTGCTGAACACTCAAAACCAAAAAGAAAAAAAAACATTAAAACAGGTTCAAAAATAAAACCATAAGGCCACAAAGTAACATGACTAAAATAAAAAGACAGCAAGTTAAAAATTGTCCAATAAAACAATAAGAATCACACATCTAAACAATGGCCTGAATTAACAAAGTGACAAAGCACGACATGCAGAACCAACTTGGATTTAAAACTCTGCACCAAAGTAGACTGCCTATTGTCATGTGGAATTTGTTTCCAAAGTTTAGGCCCAGTCACAGAAAATGACCCGGTCCCCATGTGACTTCTTTCTCATTTTTGGCACCACCAACAGTTCATGTTCTGATGACCAAAGGGTTCTGGCTGTAGTGTGTTTAGATACAAGGGATGCAATGTAACCAGGTGCTGTGCCTGACAGAGACTTAAAGACGAGGACCATTATTTTTATGTCGATCCTGTATTGAACAGGAAGCCATCTCAATGACGCCAACACCGGGGTTATGTGATCCCATTTTTTTTATGCCACAAATAAATCTAGCAGCGGTGTTCTGCACTAATTGCAGCCATGACAGCATGGACTGACCCACTTCATCATACAGGGCATTACAATACCCAACTTGCGACAAAACAAAAGCATTTGTGACAGTCACCAGATCCTTCTTAGAAAGTAATGTCCTAATTGAAGAAGAGGGTCGAAGATGAAAGAAACAGGACTTGGTAACTGCATTTATTTGAACATCCATCTTTAGTGCAGAATCCAGTTTTACCCCCAGATCTGTAACCACTGTCCTTTCAAATGGGACCAAGGATGAAAGGTCCACGTCATGGTGGTGACGGTCACTGGGGGTGAACACGACCACCTGTTTTTCTCTCGTTCTGATTGAGGTAGTTAGCCGCCATCCACTATTGCTTCTTGGCTAGACAAATCTTCAGAGTCTGAATGTTACCTCCTGTCCCCTGTTGGATTGGCAGATATATTTGACAATCGTCGGCATATAAATGAAGCCCTATTCCATATTTACCATGGAGCAATCCCAAGGCAAGTAAATAAATGGAGAACAGTAGGGGACCTGGCACTGATCCCTGTAGCACCCAAAACACCAGTGGTACATCTGAGGACGAACAAGGGCCCGTCCTTACACAGAATGACCTACTTGTGAGATAGGATCTCATCCATTAAAGAGCTGGACCAGGCAACCCAACCTTGTGCTCTAACCTTTCCAACAGAATTTGGTGATCAACTTTGTCAAATGCAGCTGTGAGATCTAATAGCAAAAGGACCACCACCTGCCCGGCATTTGTTGCTAAAAACACATCATTTTAAATCTTTAGAAGAGCTGTCTCTATACTGTGCCGTGCTCTGAACCCAGATTGCGGAGGCTCAAAAAGCTCGTGCTCGGTAAAAAAAATTGTCCATGTTAAAATATCTTTGAAATGCATGAACACAATGTAAACACAACAGTAAATACACTAATGGCACTTACACACTAGCATCGGCTCTACTCCACCCTGGACCGCATTGGGAGTGTTCTCATTTAGGTAGCCTTGGATTTCCCTGCATGCAACCGGACGTCTTTTCAGCCCTCTTCCCGAGGCGGTCAGCCTGGATCCGAACAGGGCCTACACACCCACGGCTGGCTGACTGGCCGGCTCAAAACCATGCGTACAATTAGGGGAAGCCTCCGATGAGCAGATAGAATCAGCCCACGGGAGCTTACCATGCATGCACTATTCATTATCATTCGGGATGCTTTGGAGCTGATGAGTCTTTGAATGAAGCCGTTTTACTCTGTCTCTCACTGCTGTGAGGAGGCACACACACAGTGCAGCCAGACACAGCAAAGCAGGATGCAAAATCTGAGTCAGAGATTCTCCAAAAGCAAGACTGCTCAGGCAACTTTTGTTTAACAATGCGGACATCTTCACATTCTTTTGCACCACCCACATTCTCTGAGATGCGCTCATGATATCACAGGCCAAAAACCACCCTTGCGTCGGCATTCCTAAGACAGTATGGAATGAACGCAGTCAGAGCATAGTTAAGTGGAGTGGAGCTTATGCTAGTGTGTAAATGGCATATCTTGGACCAGATATGACCAATGGTGGCAAGGTACCACAGAAAATTGCTACGCCCTCTGTTGTCCTTGTGGGAAATTGCTTTGCACCACTCGCCAGGTGACGAAGTAGTCCGAAGAAAAACATCTCCGTCAATGCATGTGCATGACTCCACACTCAAGCTGACGAATAAGTAAAAATCAACCTTCGGCCTACAAATCTAGACAGCCAGTTCCTGAAGCAAAAGGATTTTGCCATGCATGTCGATCTTTCCATGCTCCATTGAAACCTCAGTAGGCCTACTGTTGACCTGAGCTGAATTGTGTTATGCCAGTCACAGTTTCTATCTATTTGATGGGCAGGATAATGGGACATAGAGGAACACGATGGTGACGGCTCTTTCAAAACAGACTAATTAGACTTGTGTTTTTCTTTGAGTCAAGAGCAGCTAGAGATACTTAAGTCCTTTATTAAGAAAATGGATGTATTTGCATATTTTTTGACTGTGTAATGCGAACTGCCCCATTGACTGACATCCACTTGTCCAAATGTGGAAGCAGCAATAGAATGTCCTCTCCTGAGCTACCTCTGCCAGTACGGCCTGTAAAATCCAAAGAGGTTATCAGGCCAGCCTAGAGAAATACCTTTATTGTGTCCAGCCCTGTTGAGTATTTTTTGCTCTTAAGGTTGGGGGGGGGGGGGGGGTCTGTAGTGGGTGTTCACTTTCTGAAGTTTTAGGTAATTTAACCAAACTTTTGCTGCATGCTTGTATTTTCATTCCAACAGGCCAGCCCTAAAGGACCACTTTCCGGGTAGTTTCAGGGACCAATCAAATACATGTATTATGGTTGTACTTGAGTGACCAATGCAAAATTAAAATTTGCAGCATGCTATGTAAAAGTGCGCTGGCGTGAATGACTTGTTTCTCTTTTCTCCGTCTGCCTGGGATGATGGTGCTCAGCATTCGTAGTACCTCACTGAATTTTTTCATAGGCCTGATTGGTTGATGCCCCCCGGCCACTTGGTGCCTTATGCATGGTTTGTGATGCACATGGGCAGAATGCTAACGTTTTGACTGACAGGCCAGTACATCAGAAAGGTTATATTCTAATAACAGTTGACTATCTTAATGTTAGCTTGGCTTGAAGAACATTTTTATCAAAAATTAACAGGCCTATCATAATTGTAAACTTACAAGTTGAATAAAGTGAGGCTTAAATGCAGGGCTTGTGACCGTTGGTGTTAAATCTGCATTTCAAGTTGAGACAGAGTTCATTTTCAGAATCCTTTGATTTTTATTTGGTTTTGATTGAGGCACAACAGTAACACCTGTCTCACACTGGATGTGGCCCACCGTTGTGCTGGTTAAGACAAAAACAAGCTATGCTTCATCATTTTTTAATCACACCATGCCCCCCTTGCATTTGCAGCGCACCCCAACTTTCAATACCACTGTCTTAACTAATCTTTTTTCTGTGTCATCATCATGAATAATGTAAAGTATTGTCTCATTTCAACCACTATCTGTGGACCTTTTGGGCAATGGGGACATTTCTAATTTATCAGATGAGTGATGAATGCATGGTTATTTGAAATATGAAAACTTACCATGCAGTTGTACTTTGAAGTGTTGATACGGCAATTGTTGACGCTGCAATGAAAATAAAATGATATAAATAGATATACTTTGCAGCTCTATGACTAAGAGATATTTACTTTAAAATATTTGTAATTTTGTAATTATTTTAATAAAGTTAATTAGCTGTGGTTTTGAATTTTTTTCTTTTTTCCTTCCTACAGGTGCTTTTACAAAGAGGAGCATCAGAGGAGAAGGCATGCACCTCATGAGGATGGTGTCTGAGCCAAAGTATTCAGTGACTGCAATGTAAAGGCCATTTTTGCCTGTATGGATTGAGACTTTGGTGTACATTGAGGTTCAAAGTGATGCCATCAGCAGACAGACAAAATTATTTAGTAATGGAAAAACAGACAACTGTGACGAGTTTTGCTTCGGCACAGTTGATTGGAGAATCAAGTACATTCATCTGTACAGAGTGTGGGGATGGATTCAGCCAGTACTCCAGTGTGTTGAGCCACATGGCAGTTCATGGACCTTTGGATTCATTTTCCTTTGATGGGTCTTCCTATGGATTTGAAATTCCTCGAGAATACGTGCTTCAAGAAAATGGCACACTGACAGTTTTGAATGGTTTGTCACAGTCACATTCCTCAAACTCGAGTACTTCCGTGAAACCAATATCTTCTGGAGTATTGCCATCACATTTGCCAGTATCCCCAAATTTTAAGCCACAGCCCCCTTCATACAAAGACCCATTAAGGCCGAGGCCATCAGACCTGGACAAATCTCAGCAAGGCCATCATCGTTGTGAAATATGTAACAGGTCATTTAACGGCCTACAGAATTTACACCGCCACCAGCAGTATCGAAACACAGAGAGGGGATATAAGTGCACTTTGTGCTGCAGGATTGTTGAAGATCGACACGGCCTCAAGAAACATCTACAGAACCACTTATCTGAACAAATTAACTACTGTGGTCATTGCGGTAAGAGATTCCTTACAATGGATGCCCTGAATGCTCATCAAAAAGAAAATCACTCTTTGCCCAAACCTTTGGGTAAACCAGAGAATAAGGAAGACAAAAAGTCAGAAAAAGCATATGCCTGCAAAAAGTGCAAGCTGAATTTCTTTTGGGTATCAGACCTTCAGATACATTCTCTCTATTATTGCAAGGGACAAGAGCCTGATGTTGGATTTTTATCTGAAATAGAAGGGAATTCTAATGATTCTGAAGACATGCAACTTGTAAACTGTCACAGCAATGGCACGGTGGATGATATTAAAAATGGAGATAGTCAAATCTCAAGGGAAGCCAGCAGCGAGACGGAGTTTAAACCCACTTTCACACCATACAGATGTGGTTTATGTGGTGATACTTTTGAGAAATTATCCTCTCTTAAGGAGCATCATGTCACACATCAAACGCAGGAAGAAATAGATAAGCTGAATCAGGAATCCCAAAAGACTTTCAAGCGAAGGATTCCACCTAAAGGCAAACGAAGAAGAAGTAATCCAAATGGGAAACTACATCCTTGTAAGCACTGTCATCGAGTCTTTAATCATTCTAGCAGTTTATCTCGCCACATGAGATATCATAAAGGTACCATGCACACTTGTGCAATTTGTGGCAGACAATTTCCTCAGCGCTGTGACTTGAGAAGACATTTAGTCATGTACCACAAAACTGAATTGGAAAAGAAACCTGGTTTGAAACTCTTGTATTTACGTCCAAAAAATGGCAATGCCCCTAAATTTGATGATGCTGAGAACATAAATAGTCCTGGCGAGACCACCATTGCCCCCTCTGAAAATGAACTAGTATCTACAGACCAAAATCCTACAGAGAAGCAAACCAGAAAAGCAGGCCGCATTAACTATAAATGTCAAGAGTGTGGGAAGAAATTTGGGCTTTTATGTGTGTACCAACGACACTTGCGTTATCACAAGAAAGAGACTAATAAATGTCCTCAGTGTCCTGCTCAGTTTAAGAATCCATCGTCCCTTGAGCTCCATCTTCAAAATCACCCAAACAATGAACATGCAGTTGATGGCACTGGGCAAACATTTCATGACATTGAAACTAATGAAGACAAAGCCCATGAAAAAGATAAAGCAGATGACAGAGAAGACTATCCTGGTGAAAAACAAAAAAACAAAGAAAATTCTTCAGAAGCCCTTTATGAATGTACTGAGTGCACCAAGGCCTTCTCGTGCTTAGACACATTTCTTCAGCATCAGACATCTCATGGCTCAGAAACGCTAACAAATGAAAACTAAGGAAAATGGTATAGAGGGGAGTTATATGAATTATGTTGTGGGTAGGTTTTTTATCAAATGATTTTTTTGTGGAAAATTACAGTGTATGCCTGTTGTGGATGACAGAAATCCTTTATTCCAGTATTTACTATCGGCTTCCATTGCTTTTAAATTGGTAATTTCATCAACTGACAAGCAATAGTAAATACATTTGCTCTTTATTGTGTTTTAGTAGCTAGTCTTATTTTTGTATAGTTTATTGTTACATTTGTTTATTAAAAAAATTATTGTCATTTGAATACTTTTTAAATTTGTGGTGTGGTGATCATGTTTAAAACATAGCATTGTCACTTAGAAGATTGTGTGATTAAAGACTTGAGGAAATTTCTTTAAATGGTTTCAGTTTTGCTTTGATTCAAAGAAGACTCATTTAAACCAAGGTGTACATTTTGTTCTACCTATGATAAGTGTTCAAGTTATGGTTAAATAATTTTGAATTATACTTGGTGGCATTTTTGTAATTTCTGTCCTCTTTTGAGCCATCTTTAAGTTGGTAATTTAATAATTATCTAGTTATGTCATGAATTAACAATTTCAGTAGACTTTTTCTTTGTATAGTGCACTACAACCCTGTTAAGGGATTCATGTTAGGTAATTAAATGATAAAAAGCACATTTTTGCTAAAAATAAATATTGTACCATGATTAATTGCAGCCCTGGAGCCACCATCTTTGCAGCCAATAGGCAATTCTTACTCTAATGGCTATAGCTCAATAGTGTATTTTGGGGGGGGGGTTGTCTTTGAAAGGTGTATTAGAACTTGGCAAAAGCATAAATTCTGAGCAGCCAGTCTTCTACTTAAAGGTACATTATGGAAGTTTGACAGTCAAAACTTGTATAGAAATAATTTCTTCTTCATACATTCTACTGCAATGCCCTGGTCCTGTAGAATGAGCCCTGACATTTTTACTGTGATTGCCTGTTTTTCTGTAAAATCACAGAAAAAGAGAGTTGCTTGGGTTGAGCAGGCTGCTTCATGCACGTTCACCCTCAGGCATAGCCCGTAGCATTTGCTATCCATAGCTTTAGCAGCAGAGTGAGGTAGTGCCATCTCAGCGACTGTCGCTGTTCCTAACGCCCAGTGACAAACCTAGCTACATTTCTGAGGACCCTTAGCTACTTTCTGTAGAACTTTCTTCTAGATATTTCCTGCAAATTAGCAACAAAATAGCCATTTTCGCTTCGAACCGTTCTTTGACGTTGTTTCAGGTGTCATCAAGGATATAAAAGTTACAGATACTGTGAATTCCTAGAGTGTAGCTCACCTTGTAAGATGTCTGAAGCTTGGTTTATGCTTGACACATTCACTTTCCGCTTGGTGATTCGGCTCACGGATGGAACGCGCTTCACAACTCGCACCGTTTATGGTTCATGCGGCTTGTCTCTGCGGTGAGCCAATATTCTCCCAAACTGAACGGGGCAGCATTGAGCTCTATGGCATGCATCCAACACTACACCATAGTAGAAGTAGAAATTACTGTTTACAACATGGCATTCCAGCATTTTTTAACAGCATCCTCGTCTTTTCCGACAGTGCGAGCTATTTCTCTCCAAGAATTAACAACATGTTGATCACGGTGATCTCTGAGAGCTGAATCATACAAATGTCTGTATTTACGAACCTCTGCCATACTTGTTCTTGCCGGTTCGCCATGTTTTTCCGCGTCTGACCGTCCACGTGGTTAGAAAATGTCCTAGGTGCGGAAATTTTGGGCCATGCGGAGGTGCGGTGGAGGGGTGTGGTTGTTAAAATGATGCAATTTCACAGCGCGGAAGCGTCAAGCATAAACCAACCTTGACTCCCATGCAGAAGATCTGGGTTCGATTCTGGGTGTGGACATAGTTCATTTAGAATTTTTTTACATTAATGGTATTGTACCAGTCTGTCAGGGTGAAAAGAGCTGAACCAGAAGGCAAAGCTCATGATTTACCAGTTGATCTACATTCCAACCCTCATCTATGGTCATCTTTTGGGTAGTGACCAAAAGAACGAGATAGCGGATACATGCAGCCGAATTACATTTTCTCCGCAAAATGTCTGTGCTCTCCCTTAAAGATTGGATGAGAAGCTTGGCCATCCGGGAGGGACTCAGATCTGCTTCTTCTCCACATTGAAAGGAGCCAGTGGAGACATCTGGTCAGGATGCCTCCATGGTGAGGTTTTCCAGGCACGCCCATTACAGAGGAGACCTAAAAGGAGACCCAGGACGTGCTGGAAGGACTAGGTTTCTCGGCTGGCCTAAGAATTCCTCAGGATTCCCCTGGAGGAACTGGCCCAAATGGCTGGGAAGAGACTGGGCCTCTTTGCTTAGGCTTTGCCCCTGCAACTCAACCCCAGATAAACAGAGGAAAATGGATGGAGATTTCTAAATGGAGTTGCCTGTTATCCTGTGTGCTTGGTAGCACATTGCCGTGACAGCTAGTTCCAGCCAGGCTGATGGTGTACGGTTTGCAGTGAACAATAAACGTACCATCATCACAAGAGTACGAATACCTATTTTGTATGGTAATTTCTGAAGGTTTCTGATTTTGTGTAACAAATGCATTAGTTGCTGGACCACTGTACAAGCAGCCAAATAAATGGTTGTAGGGTAAGTGACTATTTAATTCTCTTTCTGTTCTCTAGATTGGTGTTCTGTAATCTATATTAAAAAGATTAACATTTTTTGTTAGCCTGTGTTAAAACTACATTTATAATTTTTTAACTGTCTACTATTGCTTATTCCAACCTTGAGGAGTTTCTCGTTGCTTGAGTTGTTGGTACATGACATGCCACTGATCAAGTCAAAACAAGAACTACTCTTTAACATTGTAATCTTGACAGAGGTGGACTTATTAAGTAGCAATTAATAGTTTATACGAGTTAAATATTTAAAGCAACAATGTGTTAAGAGATCTGTGAATCAGTTTTATGGTTAATTTAGTTGTGTAGCTTGTAAATTAGTTTTTTCCTAAGAAGTTCCATACTATTAGGACACCTTCTATTCGGACACCTTTAGATTTGCATTGCCTAGTGACAAATGGCAGTTACTTGTTTTGTTTGCACATCTTTAGCTAGAATCTGGGCTCTTATGTCCCATTTCCAACAGCCATACTCGGTGTGAATTGTTTTGGTCGACTTGAATAGCCATTCTATCAGTAACAAGTACGTGGTTAACTTTTTGGAACTGCTACAGTGCACACTAAGTCAAACTGAAACTGCAATGTCAGCAACTGTCTGTCACTTTGGCTAGGAAGTGGAATCACTAGTTTTTTCAGTGTTCCAGCTGCTGTCTCGCTGCCTGCAGCCTTTTCTGAGTTCAGAGTCTGACAAATAGCACTACCATATCCTTTATAGGTGTATGGTGTGTATTTGAGTGAAGTATCGGTCACCCCAAACAATTTCGTTGTGGGTGCATGCAACCCAGCTGATATCCTTCCCAACAGGCAGGATGTTACTGCGACTGAGCAAAACATCATATACGACAACGGCTCGTCTGAAATGGCTTTGGCATCATCTTTGGAGTATTTAGATTTGGATTTTTCTTTTAGTCAAGTGCAGGTAGAAGTATGACCTTGTGCAGTTGTTTCATCTTTGACAGTGTATGGCAGACTGCCCCACTCATTGACATTCATGAGTGTCATGTTGTTTGTTGTTCTGGTCCTCGCGCTGTACCAATAGCATGCGGAAACTGTTTGAAAGACAACTGTAGATTCTGCACCGTAACTGAGTTCTGTCTATGGGACGTGGCTAGACTAGACCATATACAGGTGCTGGCCAGTAAATTAGAATATCATCAAAAGGTTGAAAATATTTCAGTAATTCCATTCAAAACGTGAAACATGTACATTATATTCATGCAATGCACACAGACCAATGTATTTCCAATGTTCATTACATTTAAATTTGATATTCATAAGTGACAACTAATGAAAACTCCAAATTTGGTATCTCAAAAAATTAGAATATTCTGAAAAGGCTGAATATAGAAGACACCTGCTGCCACTCTAATCAGCTGATTTACTCAAAACACCTGCAAAGGCCTTTAAAAGGTCCCTCAGTCTTGTTTTGAAGGCACCACAATCATGGGGAAGACTTCTGACTTAACAGCTGTCCAAAAGACAATCATTGACACCTTGCACAAGGAGGGCAAGACACAAAAGGTGATTGCTAAAGAAGCTGGCTGTTCGCAGAGCTCTGTGTCCAAGCACATTAACAGACAGGCGAAGGGACGGAAAAAATGTGGTAGAAAAAAGTGTACAAGCTCTAGGGATAACCGCACCCTGCAGAGAATTGTGACGACAAACCCATTCAAAAATGTGGGGGAGATCCACAAAGAGTGGACTGCAGCTGGAGTCAGCGCTTCAAGAACCACCACGAGGAGACTCATGAAAGACATGGGATTCAGGTGTCGCATTCCGTGTGTCAAGCCACTCTTGAACAAGAAACAGCGCAAGAAGCGTCTCGCCTGGGCCAAGGACAAAAAGGACTGGACTGATGCTGAGTGGTCCAAAGTTATGTTTTCTGATGAAAGCAAGTTCTGCATTTCCTTTGGAAATCAAGGACCCAGAGTCTGGAGGAAGAGCGGAGAAGCACAGAATCCACGTTGCATGAGGTCCAGTGTAAAGTTTCCACCGTCAGTGATGGTGTGGGGTGCCATGTCATCTGCCGGTGTTGGCCCACTCTGTTTCCTGAGGTCCAGGGTCAATGCAGCCGTCTACCAGGAAGTTTTAGAGCACTTCATGCTTCCTGCTGCTGACCAACTTTATGGGGATGCAGACTTCACCTTTCAACAGGACTTGGCACATGCACACAGTGCCAAAACCACCAGCACCTGGTTCAAGGACCATGGTATCCCTGTCCTTGATTGGCCAGCAAACTCGCCTGACCTTAACCCCATAGAAAATCTATGGGGTATTGTGAAGCGGAGGATGCAATACGCTAGACCCAACAATGCAGAGGAGCTGAAGACGACTATCAGAGCAGCCTGGGCTCTCATAACACCTGAGCAGTGCCACAGACTGATCGAGTCCATGCCACGCCGCATTACTGCAGTTATTGAGGCAAAAGGAGCCCCGACTAAGTATTGAGTGCTATACATGCACATTCTTTTCATGTTCATTCTTTTCAGTTGGCCAACATTAGAGAAACAAACATTTTTTCATTGGCCTTTAGAATATTCTAATTTTCTGAGATACCAGATTTGATGTTTTCATTGGTTGTCACCTATAAATATCAAATTTAAATGTAATAAACATCGGAAATACATTGGTCTGTGTGCATTGCATGAATATAATGTACAAGTTTCACGTTTTGAATGGAATTACTGAAATATTTTCAACCTTTTGATGATATTCTAATTTACTGGCCAGCACCTGTAATCACATATTATGGGTTCCTTATGGTTCCTTATATACATTATTTCATTAGTTCATTAACTGACCTGAATTGGAATGTTTATTATGTGAAGTGCCTTGAGATGACTCTTGTCGTGATTTGGCGCTATATAAATAAACTTGAATTGAATATATAGAATGGCTCTCCAAGCTAGTCCGTTTGCTCAGCTTTTGTGTGAATATGGATCATCTCATGTTGTCAAACTCTTAAGGACACCCTGCTATGTTGAGCCCACTCCATAGAGCCACTTCTCAATTATAAGGGCGAACCACATGAACTGTGTAAAGTAGTTGAGCTGCGCTGAGTAGGCACTAGAGGAAAAGAGCAAGGCCTAAACTTTTTCTGCTAAGAACCAGTTTGGGAAGTTAAAGAGGTATTGCTGTACCTTAAGGAACAAAATGTTAAGGGACAATGTATCTAAACAGGTATGTGTCTTCCTTGTAATTATAGCCCTTTTAGAAGACTGGAAAATCAGTGTAATACTGCTGCCACGGTGTGTCTTATGATCGCATCGTGGCGGTATGGCGCTGCGGGAGTTTGGTGGCATTCGTGCTGCCACACTTGGTAGTGATATTGCTGCAATGCCAGACTTGTATATTACGCCTTGGCGCAACAGAGGGAGGCGTCATGATCATGTGGGGAGTTACTGCCAAGCTCCAGCCGGCAACTGTAATAAAAGTGAAAGTAAACACTTCACAGCAAGTTTCACTTTTGTAAACAGACTGAGATGATAAACTAGAGTGATGCAGAGCTCCAGGATCTTCTCCTTATTACAGCTGGAGCTTAGATCACCACAGACTGCAAAGGGACTGTGGAGGACAGACACCTTTAGGAGTGACTTGTCAAAAAAAACCTAATGAGCCTGGCTTTGATCGCAATAAAAGTTATGTCCAAGATAAACATAAGTCAATGGCAACGCAGAGACCGCCCCCATACTCCCTTTATGCTGCTATTGTGTAACCTTTTGAAAAATGGACATGATTACGCCACATTACTGCCACGGTCTGACTTATAAACAATCTAAGGCTCTCTGATGCCACCACAGCGTTGCAGCTAATTGGCAGCTTTCTTTTCTAAAAGAAGCTACTAAAACAGGCAATAAAGCAGAAATTATTCTGCCTTTTAAAACTGACTCTAAACCACCGCTGGTCAATTTTGAGGAAAAGAAAACTGTTAAAACTGATGTGGTTCGGTATTGTAAACTCACTCACACATTCTCTGTACGCTTTTAATCTTGTTCGGTGCCATAAAGCTGGGCGGACACTGTGACTTTTTCACTCGTAGCACTCAGCTTCAGCTCAAACTGTACGAGTTCCTCGCAGGGCAGATCTCACGAGTCACGTGCTCACACTGTATGACCCAGTTCTCGGATGCGACCTGACTGCTCACACTGTACGTCTGGTAGCAACACGTCGGACCTAAAAATATGCTAAAAATAGCAGTTTTTACACAACACGTCAGACTTTTTTGTCTTGCCTGTTGTCCTTCGGGAGTGCTGCAGGAGGACACACAGGGATTTATGGGGGTTGGATGAGGAAAACGAAATAAAGAAAGTAAGTCTGTGTTTTGTGATCAGTTTAATTTGACATGAACACGACAAACACACTTTGTTGACAATCTTTGTGGGTAAAAAAACATGTAGAAATAAAAACGAACAACGTGCGTTATTAGAGAAATAGCGGGCGAGCGGTGTTGATGAATGACTGCACATGCGCCGTGAGCGGTTGTGATACTTTTTGGGTCACAGCTCCTCGCAGCGCCGCTTCAACAGTGCGATACCCTCACGAGGGACAAGCAAAATATCAAACACGCCAGAAGTCCGTGCGAGCTCACGATTGCTGATCGGTAGCTGGTCACGTGGTGTTAATCGCCTCTCGTAACTCCCTATACACTACACGAAGCTCAGCGCAAAACTCGCCCCGATCTTGTGGATTCTCGCACGAGTGGAAAATCGGCTCAAAAAAGTGAAAAAGTCGCACAGTGTACGCCTGGCTTAAGAAACCGGTGCTTTTTTCCAGCAGGCAACAAGTGAGAGACAAGGTATACTCTGAACATGTCTGTTCATCATGGGGCTTACACAAGACACATAAGAAAAACTGACGGTTTCTTTTACCGTGCGCATCTTTTGAGATTTGTGTTCACTGTTTCTTTAATTGAAGACCAGCAGCATGACACTCATTCCTAATTTGCATAGCAATTGTCCTTGGGAGTCAGAGACCAGGCAGAATTCAAGTTTCCCTCTCAAGCTCTCTTGATATTGCCATTACATTGCATACATATGGGAGCCACTGTAAAAGATTCTCAAAAGACTTACCGTATAACCCACATTGCTGAAGTTGCAGCTTTTTTCAGTTTTTAGCACACAAGGTTTCTGTTTTGTCCAAATATTTACTAGCATTATGTCAGCACTTTTACCCTTGGACATTGCTAAGAAGTCCCTGCAGACTAGGTCTTGTTAAGGATACCCTGGCATTAAATCTGTTTTTTCAGGGACCATTTTTTAAGGTATTGTGCACAAATTTTGGATCAATGCAAACACGAATGTCAGTCACTGACAGTGAGGTAATGCACAGAAGCACAGGTTTCCATTAAGATTCTGAATGGAGGAGGGGCTTCTCCAGGCCAGTTCAGTTTAAGGTTTCAGATCCCTGAGAGAGAAAAAAGCACACATATGCCAGAAGACAAAGGCTGTGGGCTGCTTTTGGCTTGATATCATCTCATATTACTTCCCTCTGTTTGGCCATATTTTGTAAAAATTTGTTCTAAAGGACCAACAGGACTTTGGAATGTGGGCTATACATGGACCATTATAAATTCAAATGGACTTGGATTTTCAGTTTTGTGAAGTGACAACTAGATAATGACAGTGGACAAGTTGAAAGGGTTTAGAATTCTAGCAGTGTCCATGTTCTGCCTTAGTCCGGGAGCTTTTATAAATTTTACTGCAAGTACAAAACATGTTTAAATGCATGAGATGCGCAAGCTTTTCCAAAACCATCTTCTCAGTCTAAGGAGAGAAAGAAAGAAATTGTGAGAGATTTATATCATGCACACCAAGCAGAACTGCATGGTCACAGTACACAGAACATTTCTCTGAGTGTCTTCACATTCTGAGTCCTTTTTTCTTTTTTTTACCCCTCCCCTTTTCTGTACCTTGTCTATGGCACCCTGGTTCTTGCACATGCCTCCTCGGATGCAGGGGGCTGCATGTGGACCAGCCATTTTAAGGCAAGTCTTGCTCACAAAATGGATGTGTGCTACTTAACCCTTTAAATGCCAGAGACATTCGGACAAGACTGCAGCGCTGTCTTCCTGTCCAAATGACTGTTCATAATTGGAGCAGAGTAGACATGCGGGTTATGAAAGTGCTCAAGGAACAAATGAAGTCCCAGAGATTATGCTTGTCATCTCTGGAGTCACCCCATCACTGCAAACTCAAGTGCCTGTGTCCCTTTGAAGGGAGGGGACTGGTGCGGTAGACCGGCTGGAGTCGTGCAGCTGCAGCCCCGCCAGACTGTGGCAGGGAGAGCTTAAAGGACACGAAGGGGCGGGCGTTCTTGGAGTTTCCGCATCCTGTTATTGGTTAGAAGCAACGGCTTGTATAACGTACGAACAACTTCGCAAATACGCTAATACAGACATTTTGGAGGCGGATCTAAATCGGGTGTCGCAATACGGGAATTTATGCTAAATACCTCGCGTCAGGTTAAAAAACTCGCGAGGTTTCAGATTAACCGTCCGTGAAAGAAAGGAACGGTGTGCTTACGGTTTTCAACATAAAGAACGAAGGCGACAAGAAAAGACCAACTGATCTAACTCGATGCCGACCAACAAAGCCGACGTCTAAGGTCACAACGAAGACGTGTACCGATATCGCTCCAAGGATTTCCTGCAGGGACGCACACGAACAACGCTGGACCGTGATCTGGTAAGGTTTCCTACTAGACAGAAGCCATTAGCTACTAGTGCTAGCTAGCATTATGCTAGATGGGAAGCTAGCGGCCAGCACATAAGCTAAAGTCAGTGTTATTAATCACGTGGCCAGAGTAACATAACGCTAACGTAGCTTTGTTTTTGTGTTTTCTTGAGCTATTTTCTATCTCACTGTCGGTTTTAGTCCGCTGTCAATAACCCTGGCTGGCCAAAACCACCGCATCTGATCATCACTTATCCAGAAAAGGGCAATCAGCCTCCAAACGACAACTGAAATGGATGGTTTAGTTCTCTCTTCTCTGTCCTAATTTAGATTTTCCTGTGTAATATTGTGTTTGCATCTCTATATAGGCTTCCGTACTATTTTCATAAATCTGATATTCTATATTTCAAATTGCTCAAATAACATTTACTCAAGCTGTTTTTTAAACCCTATTTCAAAATATACTTATATTTTCTCTTATAACCGGTTTTTATTTTTGTTTTAGATTTATATATTGTTTATATTTAGAGGACAGTAAAGATTAGTATTGTACCAGTCAGAATGACAAATGGGAAAGTTACATCTGCAAAACATCTAAATTTATTTGAATTGATATTGTGGGTATCCACCATTGAGCTTCTGCATTTCATTTCATGTAGATTTTACATGTAGACCAAGTGAATACCAATTAAAAAAACATAAAAAATCTGATTGCATCGTGGAAAATGTAAAAATACATTTCCACTCAAGATCTTATTTGCAAGAACATCTTACAGCAAAAGAAATTCACATTTCACCTTACATGTAATAAAATTTTTCTAGTGTGGACAAATATCTTCAGAATATTTAAAGTTACAATGGCAAGTATGCAAAAAAAGACAGCTAAAAACTGTTTTCCATACCCATTAACAACATTCTTACGTAGTATAGCTACAAATATCTCGTGGAGGTAATAAAAAATAATAATGATGAAGTGGTTCTGTTGCTTTTTAGGGCTGAATGATTCTGGAAAATCGAATTGCGATTTTTTTCTTCTTCAATATTGCAATTGCGATTTAATTCACAATTATTTTCTCCATGGGCTTCGCTCATATTGTTCAACTAACAGAAGCAGGGCTGGGCGATATATTGATGTTTTAAAAATATTGATATCCTTTTTAAACAATATACAAGATGACTATATCTTTATATCGAAATAACTGGTCAAACTGCCATGCTAGCAACATGTTGCTCCGTCTCTAAGCAGTTATTAGTGTATTCTCACAAGTTTGCTCAATCTGTGAGCCTCTGGGTAAATGTGATGCTATAAACTTAGCATTTGGGTTCTAGTTTTTAATTATTTGGGGACATTCAATGCCAACAGAGTTCTTTTTTCCATCCTGCCTGTGCGGAGCCGGAGAGACGAGCCAAACCCCTCCCTCCCCTGTGTAATTGGAAATATCTACAGATAGCCGGAGTGGCCATATTACCTCAAATGTATTGTAAGGGTTTGAATTGTAAACTATAGAGCAGGGGTGTCAAACATGCGGCCCGCGGGCCGGATCCGGCCCGCAAGCGGGTTACATCCGGCCCGCGAGATGGTTGTGTAAACTTTATTTTCATACTTTACAATGTAGAGTTAAAATAAACTTATCTTTGTGAGCAAGTTTTCTCTGTAATGAGTATAAATAAAACAAAGCTGCGCTCAAGGCTCACACAAGAACTTGAATCACATCCTGAAGTTGGCCGCCACTCAGGATGTGACTTCTGATGTTGATGTGCTGCTGAAAGCTAAAAGATGTAAAGTAAAATGAGTCAAATATACTTTAAGTGCTGCATGAAACTGATCTTGCCATGTGATCTGTAAGCTCTTTGAATCACTAAGGAATGTTTTTTTATTTGTTTTTTTTTTTTTCTCAAAATTTCAAGTACACTTCAGGTGTTGTACTTGTACTACACTGTCCTCAGGCTCCAGCCTTGTTTTATATTGACTGTATTAAAACAAAGAAAACAATGTGAAGTTTTTTTTTTAATTAACCGGTCCGGCCCACTTGGAACTAATTTCCCTCAATGTGGCCCCTGAGCTAAAATGAGTTTGACACCCCTGCTATAGAGTTAACCTTTTATTTTGAAGGTGAGCTCAACAGGTGAGAAATGTTTTTTCCACTGTGGTTTGCTATGCTAGTAAATACTCCGTTACGAGCGATTCTGTTGAAAAAGTTGAGTTTGTAAGGCGTGGGTTACGGCGATAGTAGCCCGAAAATAATACTCATAAAAGAGCGACCAGAGACTCAATCGCTGATATGAGTCAATGCTGTTAGATTCCAGCCATGTTTGCCCTAATAACTAAAAACTCCATGGTGCATGACCAATGTGATCTTCTGTACATGCAATTACATCATCATAAATTTTGTTTAACGTGATTGTTTTCTCTGGACAAGAAATAAACAATATGGCCACCTCTAGATGAAATTAAAATAATTTTACATTAATTATAAATATATAATTAAGTGCCTGTGGGACATTTGATACACCTTTAGCTCGTGTGTGTGTGTGTGTGTGTGTGTGTGTGTGTGTGTGTGTGTGTGTGTGTGTGTGTGTGTGTGTGTGTGTGTGTGTGTGTGTGTGTGTGTGTGTGTGTGTGTGTGTGTGTGTGTGTGTGTGTGTGTGTGTGTGTGTGTGTGTGTGTGTGTGTGTGTGTGTGTGTGTGTGTGTGTGTTTTAACAGATAGCTGTACCAGTGTTTCTAAAGCTCAGACTGGTAGAGAATGGGCACTAAAGTTAAAGTTTGACAAGAATCAATACATTTTTCTGCATTTAATCTACTGATTTATGTATAAAATGACACGTCTCACCTTTATGTTAATATTGTTTTATCTGATGTACTCCACTTTGAACTGCACCAATCCAGCGACTGCTGCATTGTAATAACTAGTATTAAAGGTGAGTGCACCAATATTTGCACAAGAATAATTTCTGTTTTAAACTCTCAGTGACACACTTTGCAGGGTGGATTTGGCATTTAATTTTTCTTGGCATCTGGAAAAACATCTTCTTTTGCCCCCTTTATTTGACTCTCTGCCCCCTTTATTTTGGTCCAAGATCATTACTGGGCTGGCCCTAATAAAAACCTTCTACACCCCTGCTTAGTAGACTTAATGAAGTATTTTTAAGCCAGTATAAAAATGACTGAAACACAAATTTACATATTTGGCATTATTGACCAATATTTTTGATTTAATTTATTTGTTAAGAACATCAAGATGCATTACAGTGAACATTATAATAAGCTGGGCAGACACTGTGCGACTTTTTCACTCGTAACACAGCTTCAGCTCAAACTGTACGACTTCAGCGCAGGGTAGATCTCACGAGTCATGTGCACACTGTACGTCTGGTAGCAACACGTCGGACCTAAAAATATGCTAAAAATAGCCGTTTTTACTCAACACGTCAGACTTTTTTGTCTTGTTTTGCCTGTTGTCCTTCGGGAGTGCTGCAGGAGGACACACAGGGATTTATGGGGGTTGGATGAGGAAAACGAAATAAAGAAAGTAAATCTGTGTTTTGTGATCAGTTTAATTTGACATGAACACGACAAACACGCTTTCTTGACAATCCTTGTGAGTAAAAAAACGTGTAGAAATAAAAACAAACAGCGTGTGTTATTAGGGAAATAGCGGGTGAGCGGAGTTGATGCAGGATTGCGCATGCGCCGTGAGCAGTTCTGGTACTTTTTGGGTCGCAGCCGCTCGCTGCGCCGCTTCAACCCTCATGAGGAACGAGCTAAATATCAAACACTCCAGAAGTCCGTGCGAGCTGTAACCCCCTGTACACTACATGACGCTCAGCGCAAAACTCGCCCCGATCTTGTGGATTCTCGCACGAGTGGAAAATCTGCTCAAAAAAGTGAAAAAGTCGCACAGTGTACGCCCGGCTTTACTGTCTGTGTGTGTGTGTGTGCGTTGATGCCTGGGCCGAGCTGACGGAGCTCCCGGCTGCAGTTTTGTGTGTAGGGAGGGGCGGGCGCTCTATCTGACTGGCCAATCACAGAGCGTGAAGACAGTCAGTTACCCAATGAGGATTTCATTCAGCACGATTACAGAAATTTACGAGTTTTACACTCGTTTCTTGCTCGTATTCATCAAAAATGCTTTATCCGTACGCTCATAGCTGTAACCACCCTGCCCTGCCTCCTCCTCCTTGCTACCTGCCGGCTGTGATCACAAGCAACAACACAGTAGTTCCTGCTGCTTCTTTGGGAAACGGCGCAAAAAAAAAAACATCAATAAAACTTGGGATGTTGTAGGCGTGGCGGTGGGATTTCAGCCGTGGCGGCCCGCCGCGGCTGCGCCTATGTAAGGGAAACCCTGCTACACATATATAAACATTCACAAGATGAAACAAAATTTTGTATTTGAAAGTGCTGTGCTTTCCTGCCAGGAGCACATCTCTTGAATCAGCATAGGTATAAGCAACACCTGTGAAAATATTTTTGCAGGAAAGAAGTGTGTCCCGTTTATTGAAATCATTTGTATTTAGAGTTTTCGACGTCTTGTCCATGCAGAGCTTCCATAGTTCAGTTACATCCATAGCTGCTAGCCAAAATGCTGTGGAGTTAAAGTCTCTTATGGTTTTCTGGCTTTACTAAAATATTTGTCTGCACTGTATTTTCCAGACTATAAGTCGCTCCGGAGTATAAGTCGCACCAGCCATAAAATGTATAATGAAGAAGAAAAAAACATATTTAAGTCGTGCTGGACTATAAGTTACATTTTGGGGGGAAATTCATAATTTGTAAGAATGTAATCGGTGATATTAGCATTAGCATCCCTATGGGTTTTTCTATGTATATTAGCATTGTGCTAACCACTCACTCCAATCAAATCGCAGCCTTTGCATGCCTATGCAATTAGTCGTTCAGTTCTCTTGCTTTTGTCCAAAAACCTCAACCAATAACACTGCTCCGTCTGAAACCCAACTATTGGACTATCTGGTTGTCAGTCTCACTGGACCACTGCCCTTCAGCGTTTA